GAGAGAGAGAGAGAGAGAGAGAGAGAGAGAGAGAGAGAGAGAGAGAGTGTTTGTGTAACTTGTTTCCTATCCTAAGGAAAGCAAAGCTTATCTAGTTGATAAAATGTCACGCTGCATCTCTTTCCTCCACCAATCTGCAAGGGAGTCAGTTGGGGAGGATGGGTGGTGGCATCAGGTCAATTTAACTTTGAACAAAACATGGCTTTTCTGCACGTGAAATTCAGCTGGTCAGCCACTGTGAGTTGTTAGATGACCATCTGATTTATGAATAACATCGTTTTGAATGCTTAGCAGACAGTGTCTTCTTTTTAATGCTTCAGGTAATGGGGTTAGTGTGGAAGGAGCACTGCTAACAGAACAAGATGTTAATCATCCAAAGCCAGCAAAAAGAGCTCGGACCAGCTTCACAGCAGATCAACTCCAGGTAGAGGCAATGCTAAAAACTCGAGTACTTCAGGTTTATGCAGGATGTAACTTCTGAACTGATAGGAAATCAGATGCATATGTGGGGGAAGAATAAGCTTGTATGCTTTATACTTTTTCAAAAACTATCAAGACACGGCATGTTTCTGGAATAGTTTGTTAGCTCCAGCGGTTTCATATGAAATAGTTACCCTTCGAGCTTTTTATTTCCCTGGGGGCAGCCAGTAATTCTGCAGAGTGGAAACAAAAAAGGTTGATCTACTTTGATTGCTCAATGAAATCTATTTCAGCAGACATTTACATCACTGCACATAATAAAGAATATTTTTAGAGTTACGTAATATGAAGAGTTGCACTAGAGATGGGTACTGGATATGACTTCAAGACTTTAGCAGGCAGGAAGCTTCGATTTTATTGCAGTGCTCGGTGAAGGACTGCACAAGTTTGTGTTCTCAGAACAACAGGTAAGCGTCGTGGGTTCCTGTTAATGTTCACATGAATACAGCTCAGCTCCTGTCAAGTGATGTGTTGTTTCTCTTTGTTTTATAGAGAGGAAGGGGAATAATCGCATGTTTATATCTCGTCGTCATTTTTCCTACATGCTTGTCTTTTAGATCATGTCTTGGCTATATTGATGTGCACCGGAAGGCCGGCTTTTAGTAGGAACTCATGTCTGCTCTCATTCCCTCTTTTCTTCCCTTTCTCTCATCCCTCCCAAAGTGCTCCACAAGCATGCTCGATCTCAAAGTATCTCTGAGCTTTGCTGCTGCCTGTTTAAACATACTGCATTCTGTAGACGTGGTGTCATGCTTCAAGAGCCCAGCTTCAGTATGCAATGCTGCATGTTTGAGAGTGAGGGGAGCTGGCAGCTCTTTCATGGAGCTGAGTGGAGTGAAATACAGGAGAAGTGCATTTGATGTTCTTGGCAGCAGTTTTTTTACTGTCCAATTTGTTCTTGATCATGCATTATCAAAACATGTTTTCTCAATATCCTGTTATATGAGCTCAACCACTAGTTATGTTCCTTTCCAGTGTCAGGACAAAAGGGAAGTGAGAGCCTTGGAATTCTGGAAGTATGAAATCAAAACTCCTGGTAGGGCTATGCCTGCCCCGTGGGGGTGGGAGCTGCCTGCATCTGCTTTGCTCTCAGAGCTTCTTGTCTTGTTGCTGTCTTGACAAGAGTTGACTCTGGATTGCCTCAAATATGACTAATTTCTGCCTCCGGATCACCACTTCACCAAGTGAGCCTGTCAGGGAAAAACAGCTCGATCAGTGCCAGCTCACTGTGAGGAGGGCAACAGCGAGACCAGGTTGACACTTCTGAATCTGCAGTGGAAAGGAAGCAGCAGCTTTCTCCCTAGCTCTAGCTATGTGTCTTTCACGTTCAGTTTATATTCCCTTGTGAGTTCCTGGATGCACACTGTTACTGCAGTGCTCATTTTCTACTGTTCTGCTTTGCCACGTGCCCTTGTCTGTGGTAAAAGTGGTCAAGTCTAGTTATGCACTGGTATATTATGCACTTGGTTTAACGTGGCACGTGGTTGTATGATGCTTGATTTGCTGTTTGATCCATGACTGAAGTTAAGGTGCTGTTAATCTAAAACAAGAGCACAACCTGGAAGGGGTGTAAGGTGCAAAGGCTCTGGATATCAGGTGTGAATTTCTGCAGGAAGGAGACTTTCCCAACACGAGCTGAATGAATGTCAGGTCCAGCTCTCGGAGTAGGAACTGGATCCAGGCCTTCTTCTGTTTTGACATCAGTTAAACTTCTGTGTTTGCTTTTTCCATTTTACTGGATTGTAACCTACTTCAGCAGATACGAGATCTTTTCAGACGCTTGCTGTCTGCTCAGTGCATCTGTGCATCTCGGCACCTGCTCTTGACATAAGACCTCCAGTAGTGTGCCTAAGGATGTAGAAGGATGTCTGTGTTTTTAATGTTCTTTTATGGAACTCAGTAGGAAAAATAAATAGTTTAAACATTCTGAATTTGAAGAGTAGTTGTCTGATGTCCTCAGAGATGAAGCAAGGCAAAATTTGCAGACCATCAAGGAACAAAATCCAGAAATGAGAAACTGCAGTTTACTAAATTGTTGAAGAAGTCCTGCAGAAATCTGTGAAGTCTTACTTCTTAATTAAGGTAAAATCTTACATGTTCCAGAGCTGTTCAGGATGCAGGTCAGGTTGACATCTACTTCCTCAAGAATTGTAATTCAGGTGATAATGTGATGGTTTGTAAAAGATGGGTCCAACCAAAGAGCTGCATAGCGCAGGTCTGTCAGGGTGCAGCCTGAGTGCCCCTCGCATCACTGGGAAGTAAATGCGGCACGAGGAGCTTCCAAGTTGCCTCTGTTCTCCACGTAGCTGGAAAGAGCATCAAGTTGCTCCGTACGGTGCGAGAGGCAGGTAGCAATTGACAAGCTCAAAGAACCCAACCAAAGCTCAATTCCTCCTGATGCCATTTGCTGTGGTCTGCTGCTGTAACCATTCTCTTCATCAAGTGTGCTTGAATTGCTTCGCAGTGTGTTTTCTCACACAGCCCCTTTAGTACAATCACAACTGAATGCTGCTTCCATTTCTGACTGTTTCCAAGTGTAATTCATTTTTCATAAAAGTCTCAGTTCAGTTAAGCAGTATAAGGGGCTTCTATTTTGGGTGTGAATTTAGTGGATTATTTAAAATATGTTTTTCTCCCTTTTAATGGGGACTAGAGATTACAACAGTTCCCTTAGAACAGAGAAGGAAAAGGATCACAGTCTGAGAGAAGTCTCTGATGCCACCCTTGGGACTGCACAAAAAAAAATCCAACTCTTATCTTTTCAGGTTATGCAAGCACAGTTTGCTCAGGACAACAATCCAGACGCACAAACGCTTCAGAAACTGGCAGAAAGAACAGGCCTGAGCAGGCGCGTTATACAGGTGACTGCTCTACGTTACCAATCTGCCACTCATCTGTTGGAAATGCTCAGGGGCAGTTTAACAATTAGTGTAGTTATTGTGAGGTGGAGAAAGATCTGATGTGGTGGCTTATTAAAACTGTTCTTAGCTAGGAGTAGGTCTAGAACCAAAATGTCACTGTGAACAATTTGCAGTATTGCGCTCTGTATGGAGGATTAGAAATTGTCAAGGAAGAAACTTTACTGCCTGAAGAGCAGTAATTGGCACTGAGCTTCTCATAAACATAAATTCATGAATTCAGTAGCACGTTCTTAAGAGCTGTGCTTTCTGAAGATGATTTGTGATATACAACGTAGACATTAGGACCGATTACCTAGCGATCTGTTTTAGAGAGCAGAGGTAAAATACATGCCCAAGCCATTTAAAACTGAGAAACACAAACTTAGGTTCTTATGGTTCTTACTTTGCCTGAAGATTCCTCTTGGCAGCCATCACATTCATGCTCTTTTTCTATATAAATGTATTTGTTATATTAATTTATAAATTTATATAATTAGAAAGAAGCTTGCCGTTCCCTTATCTCCTCCTAGCCCTGACAGATACACAGGAATTAGGTAGCTGGAAACTGTGGGCAAGCTTTTGAAAAGTTGAAGCTCGCACACTTCACACGGAAAAGAAAAATCGGTGTCCCCTGAACGATCTGTTCCTGCCAGCAGCGTTGAGGCGCAGGAGGTGGCTGCACCCCTGCCATGCCCCTGCATGCAGCAGCTGTGGGTGCCCAGCCAGGCGCCTGCCCCAGCAACCACGCAGTCCCTCGCAGTGCCTGTGGGCTATTTGTTGCTACAGAAGCTTTCCTGACTTGCTCATATGTGTGCTTAAGGCACCATGCATCTTCAAAGTAGGTATTTCTTCTTTTGGACTGTCGGTGCTACGTTTGAGGCCCAATTAACTACCTGAGCTCTGAGGTTTATATCAAGTTAATGTCAAAGCAGAATGCAATTGATCTGCGTGATGCAAATCTTTTCCTTTTTTTTCAGGTGTGGTTTCAGAATTGCAGAGCACGCCATAAGAAACACGTTAGTCCTAACCATTCATCTGCTGCTCCAGTCACAGCAGTTCAGCCCTCCAGGCTGTCTCCACCCATGCTAGAAGAAATGGCATATTCAGCATATGTACCCCCAGATGGGACTATGTTAACTGCCCTGCACAGTTACATGGATGGTAGGTACAACTTTGCACATCCAAGTAAAATCATTCTTGACTGTGGCAAGAGCAGTTTACCAGGCTCCCATTAAAGAAGCTTACCAGAGTTCTTGTTTTATGCTTTATAGAATATCTTAATACAGTATTGGCTCTCTGTGCCTTGTGAAGAAGGCACTTGTATCAGGAGCACTCACTGCAGTAGCATAGCTGAAGGTCTGGGTGTGAAGACTACTTCCTGTGCTCCCTCCAAACCATGAGTATTAGTAGCAAGAATTCAAACAATTGTTTTTGCAGCAATCATGCTGTATTTTCTTCAATATCTAATTTTAGTGAAAACTGTTGACCAGCCACTCCTGGACCCTTACCACACAAACTGTAGGTGTACTGAAAACTTGAGCTTCCTTCGCACTAACAAATAATGGGGGCAGCTTTGCTTTAAAAAATGTTATTGTGTGTTATTTGTCCTGATGTGTCAACAAATTGGGCTCAAACTCATGATTTGGAGTGTCTGAAAGACCTGGGAGGCCTGGACTCTCAGCTGCACGTGTGGCCGGAGCTCGTTCTTCTCCAGAGTGGCGTGAGGTGGGCTGTGGTTGGAGACAAGTGAGCTCTGGGCCTGAAGTATGGGGCTGGTGGAAGCACTTGTGATGCCACCCGTGCCTCCTGGCGTCAGACTTGTTTAGAGAACAGTGCTTGGTTTGGTGGTTGGGACCAGTGGGATTTACCCAGTGGGATTTTACTAGTTTATATTTTTCTACTTCCGATGAAGCTGACAAGTAAATCTTTCTGTTTTTGTAGCTCATTCACCTACAGCTCTTGGACTCCAGCCTTTGCTACCCCACTCAATGACACAACTGCCAATAAGTCATACCTAATTTCTTTCTGTCAGGGATATAAGCTACTAAGGATGTAAGCTTAAGTCACTTACTGTGTATGAAAGTTACCGTTGGAAAGATACTAATGTTAACTTTTTAGTTAACAACTAAAACATTTTCAAGAACGTTTTTGCTGCCCAGGTATGTAAGTATACATTTAGCCTGCAAGACACTTTTATGGATTCTTCATAATTACATATTACATTGTTTACAAGCCTTATTAAACATCTTTTTGTATTGTCTGGAAGTAGATCACTCTAGTTATGTATTTGTTAATTTATTTGTCATCAAAAGAGCACTTTGCCTAAAAGAAAGGACTGACAGTTGTGCAAAATGTTTACAATTCTTTGTGAGTTTGTAGCTTATCATTAGTTTGTATTAGTAAGTTATTGCTGAAAGTATTGCTTGTATTTGAGTTGTATACAGCCTATATGTTAAAGCTTATTTCTGTGAATTTGCAAAAATAAATTTTGGTTGCAAATATTTTCAAAATGAACTAAATAAAGTTTCTGCTGTAGCATGCTAAGCAAAAGCGTTGCTGTGTCTATGGTTGAACCGTGAGCATTTGTGAAGTGCTTAACTTAAATCCTCAACTTTAAAAGAAAACTCCAGGTTACACCTGGTATGCTGCACTAGACTTTTTCAGGAGTGTTCACCTGTCTCAATTTACCTGGAAAATGTTTCTAATGGGTTTAGATTGGTTCTTGAAGCACAATAGGTGCCTGCTTTAAAGTAAATATTCACAAAACAGCAGTTTTCTTCAGAGTGAGGTTGCACACTTGCACAGCAAGGGAAACTGGATGCACAAGATAGACTTGACTGTGATTTAAGTCAGTGAGTGGAGATATGCTTTCATATTTTGTTGTATACTGCTTCAGCTTCTGCTTTTTTCAATGGTTTTACCTTTGATTTTGTTTAGCAGGAGGATGAGCAATGCATGTCTAAATAGTCTGCATTTCAGTTCCATGTTTTGACTGACCTGTATCATGCTGCATACAAATAGAAACTGCAGTCCATTCAGATGCTCAAGACCAGGCTGCATCTAATTGTTAAAGTGAATTAGAACTGTTAAGCTGGAATTAGAAAGCAGGGCGCTTCAGTAGGCTAGTGCATACTATCAACTGAACTGGTCTTTGTCTTCACGGACTGTCAAGGATTTAAGACTGGTAGATCCTATCTGCACACCTAAGCTTTACTTGCATCTGAAGGAAATCTTTGAAGGTGTGTGTGTGAGTCCTTTTTTTTCCTCTCCCAATGGATTCAGTGTCTCTAGTGTGTGAAAGTTCTTATCTGTTCTGGTCAAATCATTTCAGTTTGGTTTGCCACCACAGAAAGATTATGGTCTCCAAAGCCATCACTTCAATGGCAGCTTCTGAATTATTCATGTTCCATAAATTAAACTCAGTTGCCCAAGCAACTGAGTAGCAAAAGCACACTGCTTTGTCTAGGCTGATACACCCTGCCACAAATAATGCTGAGGACACAAGCTGTTGTGGAACTTGAATGGAACTTTACATTTTTATTTTAACGTGCATCATGCTGAAATAGCTGGGTGAAATGCTGAATTAAACACATCATTTTTCTGTACCTGAAATACCCCCTGTGGCTGCATGATACAAAACTGCATGCGTAATAGTAGACAAACCAAAATTCTTGTTGTTTTGTAAGACCTGATGTGCAAGTAGGAGAATCTTACTGCTGAAGTTTTAAAGTTAAGCACCATGAGTGATGGTAAATTAGACATAATTTGGTAATGTAAACTACTACTCAACTGTCCTGTTTTAAAGCGCAACTTGACTTGCATTGAGTCCCTCTGAAAAAGAACAAAACTACTTGTTCACTCTAATGTGAAGAACTGAGCAGCTTCCAGTTCCTTGAGAGAAAGAAAGGCAGACTTACTTATGAAACCTTCTGTCCAGGTCCACAAACAGAACAGGATTAAAGAAAATGAGCGGCGTTACTGCTTCCTTACGAAAAAAGGAATCGGGAGGAAATTATCTTTGGCTACTGTGAATGCTTGAGCAGCTATTTGCAAAGTGAGTCAGGGAAATGCGGAGTTAAAATAGGGAGTCCCAGTAGTGGATCTGGGCTGTGAGCATCGCCTTGGAGCATGTAAAAGTTGCTCTACTTGCCTACCTTCAGTTGCCAGGCTGTGTGCAGCTGACCAAATGTATGGAAGGCCAGGAGTTTTATTCCGATGCTCTCAACTGAAGCTGTTGCTGTATCTTGACTTCAGACTTGAAGGCTGATCTTTTTCTACTTCTTGTTCACTTGCATTTTTGACAACACGCTGCTGAGTTCTTCTGACCTGGCTCCACTGTTGTATTTCTTTAAAGCAGGAAGCACTAACAGGCATTGTGCTCAGAAAATTCAAGGAAGAGAATGTCACTAGTACTACAGTGGGAGTACAAAATAGCATGCTGAGCCTTCTAGACGACGTAGGTTTGATTTTCAAAGCTGAAAAGCAATGTTGTGTAGATAACAGATTGGTTTTAACATGTCACTTAAAAGTAGTCTGTCTTGAACAGAAAACGGTACAGATCTATGCTTAGTGTTCTACTTCTTTGGATAATTCTGCAGAGAACTGCATTTGTCCCTCTGACCCTTAATTTTTTTTTATTCTGAGGGCACTTTGTACATGTGGCATTGATACTATTAGTGAAGAACTTGAAAATTGAGCTGTAATTATATAAAACATACTTTGTATCAAGAAGTTCTCAAGGGAAGAAATACCACTAACAAAATAAACACACATCTGTCTTGAATGTACTGTGAGAAGACCGGCTATCGACTTTCAGTCTTCTCCCCCTCAGGTCCAGCCAGCAAGCTGGGGTTGGCTCCTGTATTATTGTGTGTTAGGACAGGTGAGTACAACTGCACTGCAAAATATGACTTAAAATGCACTATATTGTCTCTTACAGAAAGGGGGGAAAATCTGGATAGAAAACTTTCACTGTGTGAATCTCACAACATGGGAAGTCTGTTATTAGAAGCCAGTAGTAGTAGTTCGGTTTGCAGGGTACAGAAATATCTATTCTAGAATATTCAAGGTCCTTCAGAAGTATTTCAAAGTGCAGTTAAATACTGCAATACATTTTGAAATATGATATTTTGATATATATGATATGATATTTTGAAATACAGACATTTTGAAACTCCACCTGCTCAGTGGAGGTACAGGTTTATGTGTATATATATGTATATATATATGTAGATGCATCAGGTGATTACATGGGCATTTTCTAGTCTACTTCTCACCCCAAGGTACTGCTGATATAGTTACTTGACTAAACTGTCCTGAAATATCTTAAATGTCTCCAACAGTAGATATTTTTGCAGAATCCTCAGGAAATCTGATACTCTCTTCCCTTCCTTGCTTATATTTTAACATGCTGAATTTCACCTTGCTTTTTTCTCACTGCTTCTCAAAGCTGTCACTCATTCTGAATCGCAGTTCTGAACTCCCCAGTGTTGTCTGCTCTCTGTTGTCAGAAATGCAGTGAGCCTCTCTTTATGCCGACATTCAGGTAATGAACTAAAATACTGACTAGAACCTATTCTTCTGTAATTCCATTTTTTTTAATAGGAGAAGGAATCATCTGAACTGCTTGCCAGTACTTACTTTCCAAATTTTCTATCCTAGGTTATTTCCTTATCTTGCTTTTGTCAGAAAGAGACACGCACAGCATCTTGACCACCCACACAGCTGCCACCCTTGGTACCCTGAAAGGAAGTTGTTTCTATTCTTGTTATCACCAATCTCATTAATATTCTAAAATTCTCAAATAAAATAATCAGACCAGAATTAAATTGCATTGTTGAATTTTCAGCTTTCTTCTGCTCGTTCCCGAGCTGTAGACACTGAGTGTCTCTCAAAAATAAGAACTCATAATTTATGAAGGTCTCTGTTTAGCTCAGTGGTTCCAGGACAAACTGTAGCAGATCCAGGCTACCCATAAACCATTTAGATAGAAAGATTCCAGAGATCTTGCTTTTGTTGGGAAAATACAACTAACAGTTACTCACAACATCCTGATCTGTGAACTGCCTCTCACGTGGATCCTAACGAAGATGCCATCCATTATTGGCACTTCACTCATCACTAGCTACACACTGCATGCTGCACCACTGACCACAGTCCTCTGGGCCTGGCCGTTCAGATTCTGATGCACCTCAATATCTGCTCATCCAGGCCATACTTCCAATGGTGTCATCAGGAGGATCTTAAGGAGGACAGCATCGAAGGCCTCACCGAAGTCTAGGACTGCAATATCCATTGTTCCCATTCATCCGTCAGGCAGACTTGTGTTGCATTCTGTAGGTACCCTTACTTTAAGCAGAACAGCTTTTCCCTTCATGTTAAAGAGGATGCCTTCTCAGTTACAAGCTAGGTTTTAACTGATGCTCTCCCCATTAGGAAATGCTGAGCCCAGAACGCGCTCTGGGTGAGCAAAGGTACCTGGCAGTAACATTCAGCAGCCTCTCTATCCACAGTCTGAACAATACAGGAATACTTGTGTTTTCTTCAGCCTCTTACAATTGAAAAAGCAATTGAAAAAGCAGGTATGCTTAGGATTATTTCACTTAGAACAGCATAACTTCAAACCCTGGAGGTGCACGTTTGTTATAAGACCACCCATTACTTTAAGACTGTCCACAGACTTTTTTCTAGTAAGTCTGGTAGTAATAACTGCAATACAAACGTATGATAGCTATTTCTCATCTCACGCGGGGGAAAGCATTCTTTATAGGCTGATATGCTGTACAAACTGAAATTAAAGACTTAAGGAGTCATTCTTAGTTCTTCCACATATGCTAAAGTGACCCCTCTCAAATGTTTTATTTTAAATAAACGGCTCATCACAAATGTTCTCTAAGAGAAACGTAGTTCTCAGTTCTCATCCTCATTCACTCGTGTTCTGGCATCCATCATCATCTCCCCCTGGTCCCTCATCAACACGTAGTCATTCTCACTCTCTTTAGGAATGGTGATTTTGTTTTCTACTCTTCATCCTGATTTAGGCAAGCTTAAACTCTCAGAATTGGATAGCTTTAAATGTGATTTCTTCTGAAAGCAATGCCAGGAAGAAGCAAACTAACAACAAGAACCCCCAAAGAATGTCTTAGCAGAG